GGACCGCCAACGTTAGGAAAAAAGAAAAGTGCTCCGCCCTCTTTTCTTCCTGCGTATTTTCCTCGATTGCAAAATCATGTATATGATCGTGGACCAGCCCCAGACCGCGTAGAAAGACTCAGGCTTCCTATGCGAATGGATCGTAAGATCGTGGGACCGTCCAGCTATTTTCCGGTGTCGGAAGCAGCGGTCCAATCGTGCAGCAACCGTAGCTGTCAGATGTTCAAGGTACAGTTTTCAGGCAGCTATGACTCCGTCCTTCTGTTTTCTTACGGTACACAACTCGAGTTCGGGCGCACATTCTCGCTTTGGGCAGGTCGTGACAGCGCTGCCACTGAATGGAGGCATCTACAACCTCCTTCTCAATTCTTCTACCAAGCAGCTGCCTTCTCAGATGCGAGTGTGGTATTGCTTAAGCTTGATTGTCCCGTGATTGTCGCATGGTTTGATTAGGACAGCGTCCGTTGCTGCCTGCCTTACCATCTTGTCGCAGGAGGCTTAGGGGGTTGCTAAGTCTTGTTGAACGTCTGTATACGTGGCGAAGACGAGAGCGTCGAGCCATCGTGTCTTCCGGGACAGTGCTTGTCACATCTTGCCACCAAGGTACACAGCCACGGGTGTTGTTTCTTCAGTGAGTGCCGCAGACTACTTGAAGTGTTCGCCTATGTTCAGCTCCATCGAAAGCGCTTGTAGCTCAGATATTCCGCAGTTTTCATACAAGTCATCGGCTTGATTGTTGGGATTTCGAGGTGCCGACAGCAATCTGCATTCTCGGCTTCTTCGCGGGATGTATGCTAATGGGTATGCAGGAAATGTGGAAGCCACGATTCGCCACTTCACACGTTGTGGCTGCACAGGAGAGCTCAGCAGTGGCTTCAATGCTTTTTGTCTTCCATCTGCCCCCTGCTGAACGAAGGGGAGGATTGTGGGCCCTGCTGAGCGTATGGAAGTGGCAATGCCGCATTTTCGATGAGGTCTGTTTTCTTTATCCTGGGGACATTTAGTGTTATCTTCCTCCAGGACATTGCGAATCTCAGTGAACGCATTTCGTCTCGCGTTTGCATCTCGACAGGATGCAGGGCTGGGTCAGCTTTACGACAACCTGAACTGGGAGAGGTGCTCCGAAACAAAGAGGAGTCATGTGCGGAAACAAAGACTTGGAGGCAGCCTCCTTTCTGGAACTCGATATTCTTCGGATTCTCATCAGCCATGCTGGGAGTTTCCGGCCGGGTCCTGAAACACATTCACCAGCAGCATGCCTCACTGACCTCCGAATCATTGTTCTCAGGCTTCGAAACATCGGCGAATTTTGTCGAGGAGCAGAAACCAGGCCGTTCAGCATCTTGCATGCTCCCCTGCATGTGGTGCCACCTCCTGGCAGGTGTCTTTCCAAAGACACTCAGAAACATGTGGATGAGTGTCTCTGTGATTAACGTTGTCCTGCCAAGCCTCGCAGTGGTGGCTCGACTGCAGTAATCTCGACCACAATCGGCAATGCCGCAGCTGCATTGGATAGTGATGGAGTGCTGGCCAGGCTGTGATACCCCTTGACGAACTAACAGGCATGAATCAGAGAATGCACCTAGAAGCTTGGTGCATGGCTGCGAAGAAGACCCTGCGCAGGCGAGAAATCGGCATACGCACTTGCATTCCTTGCCGAGCGAGCCCATATCTGAGTAACGAATGACAAAGCGCATGCCGCTTCCACAGATACAGTGATCGCCTGCTTCTTTGCCAAGGTTGCTGGACCCTTCTTGCGTGACGTTGTGGCAATTGATGCTGCATCCTTTGGTCCCAGAGCAGTCTTCCTTTCGAACCACTTTGGATGCTGGTGCGAAGGCACTTCTCGTGCTGGCTGGATCTGTGTTGACGAGCTATGTGGGAGCTGGCTCCTCAGATGCTTGCATGGCTGCCCTGCCGAACCTCGCAAGACATTGCAAGGTGGTTGGCCTGTTCCAGCGGATGGCTGGAGATAGGTCCGGAAAGCCAGATCAACTTCGCTCTGTGTCAGCAGACATGTCAACTCGTACAGCAATGAGTTTTGAGGATGTGCGCGCGTTTTTTTTTTTTTTTTTTTTTGCAAGACTGCTTTATGTCTCTGATCCCGGCCCTGCACAGCCTCGTCAATTGTCTATTTCTGGGCACAAGTCCTGCCAAGTAGCTTTACGTTGAGGATAGCGCGAGAAAGCGTTACGGACAGGAAACGCTGGACAGCAAACTAGAAAACAGGAGCAACGGCATGTGGACACAGCGCCTACCCCATCACAGCTGGCAATCCTACTGCACCCCACCCAGGCCATGCCAGCTCAAACATCCATCGAAGCGCAGCCTAACTGCCATCGATGCTACCCCAAACTGGGTAACGTCATGTGGTCGGATGTTGGGATGGTATGTAGAGTTTTTCAACTGAGCAGACAAATATTGGTGTATTCTGTATGTGAACAATTAATAAGCGTTGTATGAGGGGATCCTGCTCTGCTAGCGGCCTTAGCTTTGATGTGGAATGATTCTTTGGCAGGAAGAAGTGCTTCAGGTGTCGACAAAACTGGCCGAGTGCCGGCGTTCGCTAGCGGCCGTGACAAGACATCGAGGCCAACAGCATCGTATGCGAAACCTTCGCGCATGTTGACGATACGACCCCCATATCCTGTCAACGCCCTCGAAACCCTGCTTGTGAACATCCGTGATGTTAGCCAAACCAGGAACCCGAAACATATCCCACCGCGCCCCCTCCCAGCCATCTTCAGCCAATCCTTTGCCGCCTGGTTACTCATCCAATCCAATCCGTCCCAACCTCTACTCCACCAGACATCACCACACCCCCCTGCCCGTTTGGCTCGAGTGTAGTGAGCAGGTGCGATAGTTGTGTTGAAAGTGTTGTTTTCGAAGGTGCTTGCCAGAATTCTTCAGTGAGACGAACTCCTGGAGAAACACTCCGCCGGCGCCCACAGTGCGGGAGACTGTGCTTGACACGATCCGTTTGCCACAAAGGCACTACACCATCTTGGTCTTCTTTGCTGTGTGCTCATCCATGTGTGTGATGCTGGATGGCGACATCACCTTGTGCTGCCCTTGGGAAGTCCGGCTAAAGCGCCCTTGCATACCCTCTTCATATTCTTCAATGGAGGCTCTTATCTGAGTCTACTGTCTGCACGTGGCTTCAGGCTGTCTGCTATCTACTCCATCTCCTTCTTGCTAGTCATGGGCCTTTTTGCATTTGGTGGCCTGTGGCTCAAAATCAACCGACCGACTTTGCTCATGCCCCAGCATTTGCTTGCGCGATTGGATCTATGTTTGCCAGAAGACTGAGACCTCCTGAGGCCACGAGTCATCAATGCCCATCCTGCGTTGTTTGTGCGGCACTCGTGCGGCTTCAGAGTGCTGTCTTTTTCAGGTGAACTGAAACCTAGCTTGCACAATCCATCCCTCTTCAATATTGCCTCCAGCTGATTGAATGCCATCTCCATGCGCCCTTTGATTCCGGCGCTCTTCGTCGTTTTCGTGCTGAAGCTGAAGAGCTAGGGGAACAAACGATCGAAGTCACATGCCAGATCATGCAGGCAACATGCGTCAGCAGGAGACTTGCATCGACGACTCGTGAGAGATGCGTCATGGTATGTACGAGCCCGATCTCACAGCGCTGGCAGGCCTCTAATCTAATTAGAACCGAGGGTTCGTGTCTGTCCAGGGAACACCCGGAAGCAACACAGGCGCACTTTGACCAGTGGCAGTCCTGTCTTGTGAAGGGCGTGCATTTATACATGCTACTGCTCACGAAGGTGTAACCTTATGCATCATATTTTGTATGTACATGCGTATACACGTGAATGCACAGGCATGCACATTCTTGCAATTACACATGCACGCAAGCATAAATGCACAACCCCGTACATCTGTTATCTGTGATTACCGTGGTATGCTCTACTACCACAATACAATAATCCACTTCCAAACGAAATGAAAGAATCATTTTGATAAGTTGCCTCATTGACTCGGTGAAGGTCTGTGTGTTTGTGTGAGTACTCAGTTGAGTCTGTACTGTAGTATTTCAGTATGTCAGTATGACTTGTTTATGAGGCATCTCACAATATTACGCAACCACCATAACTATCGCAAGACTGCATCTCTGCAAGTTGGGGAACACGCATACACACCGGTTTTTTATGACGTCGTAACAGTGCACACAGAAACACGGGCATTCCTTCCTCTACTCATACAGGGATACATACACGCACGAGCCTATGCATGTACTGCTTATGTTTTTTGCACTAATTACCATGGTACGCTCTACTACCACAATATAAATGGCACAGCAGATATGCCGCCGCTTAGAAGCGATTGAAAGAAAAAGTAAAATTGAAGCAATTACTTCACGCATCGTTCCAGCTTACTCTACTCTACAACTTTAACACCCGGTAATCTAGGGTGCAAGGCCTTGCCATGTTCTGATTCCCTTATGTCCCGGTGAAGGTCTGTGTGTTTGTGTGAGTACTCAGTTTAGTCTTTATTATAGTATCTCAGTGTTTAAGTATGACTCAATGACTTGCTATTAAGGGCCCCACAAACAATGCACAGTTGTACTGACTGTCGCAAGACTGTTCTTCAAATTGGCGAGCCTTTTGCGCATGTGCTTTGTACGGTGCCGTAACATATACTGCATCAGGGTTCTATTCAGTCTGTATGTACACAGGTCAAGAGGTAGGTGACATCATCCATGCTTAGACCAGTGTGTGTGTGTGCATATATAGATAGATGGGTAGATAGATAGATAGATAGATAGATAGATAGATCGAAGATAGTTGGGTATTATATCCACATGTATGCCTGTATCAGTGTTTCTACAAGCTGCTCATTGCTCCTAAGCAAGTCTGTGTTCATGATCATGCAAGGGTGTTCATACGTAACCCCAACAAATCATGAACGTCATACGCAGAAGAAACCAGAAGAAACTAACAAATTCAGGTCGTGTGGTCCTCGTATGCTACATCAGCTCAAGCTCGGCATGTGCTTCCATGGAGGGTAGACAAAGATGCAGCGGAAGTTGCGGTAAGGTTTGTGCAAGTGGTGCCGGTGGTCTTGCTCTCCGTTTTGATGGTGTCTGGCGCGCGCGCGCGGGTGGGGTTAGACTAGCTACTCGTACGGCCCCCAAGTGCTTGTAAACAGAAGGATATTGCTTGTAAGCAGAAGCAGTGCTTATAAGCAGCCGGACTGCTTATAAGCATAACATAAGATAGAGTAGACAGTAGGCTTGTTTAGGTAGACCTGAAACCCAAAAGAAAAGCCACAGCGCGAGGTTGTGCGGGCGCGTCACCTGCGGCAAAGACCGAAGAAACCAAAAACAGCAAAGAAACCAAACAAACAAGAAAAGCTAAAGACACCAAAAAACCCAAGAAACCACACAACCAATCATTTTCACACTAATTGGAATTCTTCAACTAGTCCGGAAATCTTGTTTTTCTTGGTTTCTGTGGTTGTTTTTGTTTTTCCCGAAAAACCCCTCTGGGGTTGGGTTCTCGATTAGTGCTCCAACGCGAGGTCCGCGATATCGGCCCCTGTCTTGACGGAAGAGCTTTAGAAGACTAAACGGTGCACGGGCCTTGATACATCGGGTGCGCGGATCGGGTGCGCGGACGGTTCGGGTGCGCGTACGGGGTGCGCGGACTGTGCGCGGTGGAGGGCGTGGACCAGGGGCGGGAGCGTGCGCGATGTGGAGGGCGGGGACAAGGGGCGGGAGCGCGAAATCGGGTGCGCGGACAGTGCGCAGTACTGTGGAGGGCGGGGACAAGGAGCGGGAGCGCGATATCGGGTGCGCGGACGGTGCGCGGTGGAGGGCGTGGACAAGGGGCGGGAGCGCGATAGGGGCGGGAGCGCGGACGGTGCGCGGCCGGTGCGCGGTGGAGGGCGGGGACAAGCACGCAGGGACGGAGGGGCGGGAGCGCGTTTTCGGGTGCGCGGACGGTGGAGGGCGTGGACAAGGGGCTCCCGCTGCCGCAACTCGAAGATTGCTGGACGTGAGAACAGAATCCTGCGGACTTCTATTCTGCCAGTATTCTCTTCGCCTGGGTTTTCGGGTTCCCGGCTTGACTTTGTCTTGTTTTTGATAGTGGGGCTGAGGAAGCTTAGGGTCTTCGGACATTCCAGAGGGCCTTCTGTGCCTGCCGGGGAGCATGCAAAGCAGTCCAGAATGACAAGTACCGAAAAGTATGCGAAAGTGTGGTGTGCAAAAACCCAAGCCCCATGGCAATCCCGGCTGTAACATCAACACCGGTGTTGAATTTACTTGTTTTCGAGATAATGGTTTGCGAGTGATATTTCGATTTGTTTCAGCGTTGATGAGGGCAAGTTCAACACCGGTGTAACGCAACCCCTTACCTCAACATTGCTCAGACACCCAGACATGCAGACACGCAGATGCTCAGACATGCAGACGCTCAGACCCTCCGACGCTCAGACACTCCGACACTCAGACACTCAGACGGAGTTCTGATTAAAAAAATTATCGGCGCCCCATCAGTGTCAGGGCCTGCCCTCTCAGTCCAAGAACTCATAGGAGCTCCGATTTACAAGTTTGGGCGCCCCATCAGTCCCAGGGTTTCCAGGGCTCTGCAGCCTGATGTTGAGGGAAAGTGTTGCTAAGTGGATTGGGGTCTCGTTCGCAGCATCACGCCACCTTGGTTTTTTCTCTCTGTAGTCACACCATGTAGCTGCCACCTGCTGCTAGCTAGCCTATAGTCGATGAACTTGCGTTTCCCGTGGACACATGCATTCGAGTCGTAACTTTTGCCTTTCAGGTTTGTGGTCTGCTTTTGGTGAGCGAGCCCTGCTTGTTTGAATTTCAAGCGGCTGGAGCTGGGGGCTGCTCGACTTTGTCAGGCTTTGCGTTTACTGCCGTGGTTCTGCTGCACCCGCAGGCAAGCGGGGCACGGGGCGGCTCAAGTGGTGCCTGTTGAGCTCTGTTGCAGAGGAGTATTTCGGGTTAGCGACCTCCAAAGAGATTCCGTTCTCTTCACTCCTCTTGCCCTGGCAGATGCTGACGTACTTCTACATCTACTACGGCATTACGACCACCATGGTTCCGCTGTTAAGCTTTGGAGTGTTTTGAAGCGTCGGCTTCTGCGAATCTGAGGTCATGCTGACCTTCGCAAGGGTTTCCATCTTCAGAGCATTTCTGAATTTGATGAAGCAGTCCAAGGCCGGACTTCGGCAGGTGCACACCGCCTTCATGTATCTGCCGTCATCCGTCATTTCGATACTAGTCCTTGCACCTTGCGTTGTTTCAGTCTTTGAGGCGAGCTCTTGCTCCTGGCGGGGTATGTAGAGCCCCCGCCCGCTCGTTCGTTCGCTCTCTCTCTCGCTGCCCCTCCCAATCTGTCTGTCTCGGGAGCACCCAATGGACGCCACAAGGATGGATCACCAAATCGGAGTGAGAGCTCGTGCACCCTTCCATACCCTTCCCGTGACCTAACGAACAATCCCCATCGAATCATTTTGAATGAAGAGAATGAGAATCTGCCAATGAGGATGTATAGTCGAATGCATAAATTTCATTGGTCATGATTAGCTGTGGCACGCATTACGATTGTGTGTGTGTGTGTGCTTCATTCCATGGAAATGGAAGATAAGCATTGGCAAAATACACGTGCGAGCTTGCAGGCGGCTCGATTTGTGATTCAATGGTTCGTGCAGAAGGACATTGCTCATGGGCATGGCCCTCGATATCCCTGTCAGTTCATCGTTGGCAGGTTTCAACTGCATCAGGTGGGTTCATCAGAAACTGAAAAGCCTTCAAAATCAAGGAGTGGTGTCCGGGCCCTACTGAACATCCAGCAGTTTTATCCGGACCGATTCGCAGCGCTGAAAAATGTGAGGTATTTCACGAAGCGCGCAAGCATGAGCCAGATCAATCGAGCTTTACAGTATATCGAGGAGAATGAGGAAGCCAGATGGGTCAAGGCCTGCAAGGAGACAGCGAGAGCCGGGAATGGCCTTCGCCTTCGCTTGCAGGTCATCCATTGTTATACGGACAGGGAGCCAGTACCAGAAAACCTCCAGGAGAAGCGGCCTCAGATTGTCCAGCCTTCCTGCTACACTCGGAAACCTGCACAGATGTTGTTGCCTTCCGATTGATGATGTTCAACACATCTTACAGTACAGATTGGAGAACACTCTGCCACTGTGCACAGTGACTTGCGTTTTGGCACTTGAAATGGCAAATTTTGCTACCTTCGGGTTTCATCAGGTACATTTGAATGCTTCCGAGCTTCAACATCTTGCCTTCACCGCTTGCTACAGTTTCACTTGGAGCCAATCAGCTGGGGAGCTCTTAAACCCGTTCTAGCGGGGATAGCTATTTCGGCTTGCACGTTCCACTAGCATCGAAGCCTCCGGCAATGATGCTGGGCAGCTGGGTGGGCTTGGTCCTGGTGTCTGCGAAATCCGTAGCTTGTCGCTCGGCGTCCGCACCCGCAGCATGTCACCCGATTGCAAGCCAGGAATGTCGCAAGTGCTGCCGTGCTGCGGCTGACATCCATGGCGAACTGATTATTGTACTTGCAGCACGGCAGCTGTTGCAGAGCTTTGGAAACTAGTTGACTTCACTAGTAGTTCCGCTGGAGGCTGATAGATTACACTACGGGATGGGGGGACTAGACACGTCCGTGTTAGCAAACGTCCGGGCAGATTCTGAGCAGAACTTCCCGGACGTTGCAACCCTCACTTTCCTGACTTTCGGGGGGACCGTTGAAACCGCTTTTCGTGCACGTTCTTACATTATTGACTGGGCTTTCTTCTGGTTGTGGGTCAGCTTATGCTTCGAAGTGCTTTCTGGGTTCCCCGAAAGATGCCTCGGGCGGAGGTGAAGACACGACAGCAGTGAGCATGTACAGCGTTAGGGGCAAAGACGACCACGGGGAAACTTTGCTGGTCCTCGGAGGTTTTGTTTGCTCTGGACGGGATTGACAGCAGCGAATGGCACGGAACGAGCAACAACATCCTAGCATACCTGCCACACAAATGCAGCACTGCATTGATCGGTAAACCGCCCACGCTTCTCACAGACGAGATTCGTCTCATCACCCGAAGTTAGTGCAGACCTCGATGTGTTGTGAGGAGGACTCCGCAAATAATAGCTCGCAGACGCGCAGTGAGGTGATGAGCTATGAGTTGGAAAGCTACCCAGTGCATCCTTGTTCTCAGCCTTACACAATTCAGGGCCTTGCGCTCTGGACTCGAAGACGGTGCAAGCCAGGAAGCAAATTTTCCAGTGGTTTTCACCAGAACCAACAGAACTGTTCTGTTGTTCAGCAAAAAACTGGGAGAAAGAACTTGGAGTGTGTGGAGACGTGTGGAGTGTCCGTGGAGCCTGGCCATCCAGAGTCAGCAGCTGAGTTGTAAGTGTTGAATCGCCCCGGTACAGCAGATGGCCTAGTGCTGAGCAGACGTAGTGCTTCGACTGAGAGCTATTCCCATCCGCCAGTGTTTCGCGATTTTGCATTACCATGGTCATGACTCTCATGACTCATCAGCCTCCACGTGGCTGTCATCTTCTGAGCAAGGCTGTTCAGGCTTTGTGGAATTAGCCGACATTAATTGTTTTTTTCTGAGGCCGAGCTTTCGCCAACAAGTCTCAAGTTCGCCCTCCGTCGCTCGTCGTGTCAATCCTGAAATCCTGGTCACTCGGAGTTCATTCACGATATAGAACAAAAGCAGCCGCAAGGTCAAATGATCCTGTTGTCGGATCCACTCTGTAAAGTCATCTGTAAAGTGGCCGGTAGGGGAGTCGTTCTCAAGCAATCCGAAGGCTTTCCAAACACATGCCTCGTTGCAAAATGGGGAGAGCATGCCTCATCATATTTTATGGTGGGTGCTGCGTCCGATCGTGCATCGGCTAATTTTGACGTGAAGCGCTCTTTGTAACATTCTCCGAGTCTCCCAACTCTGGAGGCACGAGAAAGCTTGTTCCCAGCGTCATGTGCCGTAACGGGTTCCATCCAAAACATGATGACCATATAAAAATTGATTTTTCGATGAAGTTGACGATGTTTCGATGCAACAAGCTTGTTGCGCCATGGATCTTAGTGCACCGATCAGTCAGATGGAGAAAATGTCTGCGATAAGCTTAGATATGACGGTGCCGAATGCGAGATCCATGTCACACATGCCTTTTCACTTGTCGGCAGCCCGTCCACTTTGAGAATGCGAGTGAAGCCCGAGTATTTTCGAGGTATGTCCAGATACTGGATTGCGTCTATCCTCGCCTTCGTGTCGATTGTATTCTCGCAACGGGCCAATGCTGTTCTGAGTTTGAGTCTGTGAGTGCTCGGCTACAGAGATGCAGCGAGGTGAAAGGCGAGTTCAGCCCGGCGATGGTGAACTACGTATCGAAGCGAATCAACGACCGGCACTCAGCCTTTGGCCGGGCTTGCAGAGTGGTGGCAAGGGATGTCTTGGATGCTCGACAGCCATGTGAGGTCAAGGTCAACTGCATGTTCATCAACTGCCCCAAGCATGATTTTAAGCATCCGCTGGACAGAATGGGTGGCATGAGAGCTCAGCATTGCGTTGGTGGATTTGCAGGCATGAGCTGTGGGACTGTCGACATGTTGTCAAGGTGTTCGTGTCATCCTGAACTCTGAGAAGCCGGATCCGCAAGAACCTGAGCATGACGGATTTCTGCAGTCTGCGGTGAGCTGTCGTGTGTTCTGTTGAAGGTTTGAAATGGACGCAGGCGGGTCGCATCGGATTCGCAGTCGAAGTCCTGAAACCCGACACGAGAGCCATGAGCCATGGCAGGTGCGGCACCAGCCTCGTGGACGTCGCCTCCATCCGGTGGGGATTTAGGGAAGGAGCTAAACTGAAGTCCTCCGACAACATGGTCGGCATCTGTTCAGGACCTGACGATCGACTTTACCTACCATTGAGAAAGTTTGATGAATCAAAGGACCTGCAAAGCAGTCCTCGAGCTGCTAATGCCGTTGGCATTGGCGATTCCAGCTAGAGCACGTGGCAGTCAAAGCTGCTGCCCTTTGTGGCGACTTACATCTTCACGTGGCCTCCGCATTCCAAAGGAAGGCACGGCCCATCGCAGTCCCGCACAGTAACAAGTGGTCTCAGTTGATTCGGAAGGCTACCAGAAGTTGTTTTGTTGCAATGAACGTCCCTTGTTGTTGCAAGTACATGTTGGCTAGAATACATGGTGCTTTGAGCCTTGACTTAGGCAGGATGAAACGGACAGTTCCTAATTGTAATCGCTTCGCGTCGTCGAGCCGTCCGCCTCGCCCCTGCTGCAGGGGAGGGTTGCTCGGCTGTTTCTTTAAGGCATTGGCACAGGCGATGTGGGTGGGGGAGGGGGGAAGGTGGTTCTTGCTCAGACTGCAACCAAAATCCATTGCCTGGCCTTGGGGCCTGTGAAGTAGGTGGGGGGTGGCCAGATAAAGCGGGGGGAGGGTGGGTAAGCGGGGAGGGGATTGAGAGGACGGGAAACAGGAGATTCCTGTTCGGGCTTGCCCTTGGGTCGGCAAACCCAAGCAGGCAGTGTTGTGGTGCATGGAAAGGGTTCTTGACAACCGGTGCCACCGACAAACAGCGCCGATTGAGCCACATCAAACTCAGTCGATGATTGTGGTGCCCCCTAAAGCCCCGAATGCCAAGGTTCCTGCCCTTGACTCGACGGCGACAGCGTCCGGTGGCAAGTGTTAACTCGTTTTTCCATTCGTGTCACACGGTAGAGCCACATCATGCCTTCATGATCTCCTTCCTGTTTGTTTCGTTGCGCCACAGCCAGAGGACCAACTTAGCATGAGTGTGAGTGTGGGACCTGCACCTCAGCTTGTTGATGAAGCCTGCGTGACTTTCAAACCAAGCCACTGGTAACTAACGGCATTATCTGCGGTGGTTCCATGAATCCCGGAAGAGTTGACGAAATGGAGAGAAACAACCACACGGTCAACCAACTAAGGCTGAGTCGCGGCATGCACTCGGTGGTACCTCGACAGATCTGAAGGCTTCAGGTTTCCAGCTACACTGGACCCGAACACCCTACCTGTTCGTTGGTCTTTCCTCTGTCGGGATTCACGGAATGCCTTCAATGCAGTTTCTGTTGCCTTTTCTGTTCACCAAACAGTGCAGCACACAATGTGGGGTTCTTACCTTCAGTACAGAGAATTGGTCAGTGTCCTCGCGAGGCACACACCGCGTCGCATGCAGAATGTATCACCTTCCCGCTGTGGTGCAGTGCATAGTTTGCCTTCATTGTGCAAGCACGATTCATTATGTAATGATATTATTAATTATACTGGTTCGAAACTTCAATACAATGGTCTCAACTTGGCATGCCTGAATCCCACCAATAATTACATTAGCGGAAGCTTTTTGGTCGCGTCTCTGAATCCCGCTAGTACATGGGATGAAGCATTTTGGCGGTGGTCCTGTACATTCGGGAAGCATCTTGCTCACGTCTCTGAATCCGCCAGTACATGCACTTTGGTCGCGGCCCTGAATTCCGCTACTGTACTCGACACGTTGCCAATATTTCTGAATCCGCCAGTACGTAGCAGAAAGCATGCTGGTCGCTGTCCTGAAGCCTCCCCGCACATCGCCAAATGGTGGACTCCTGGTCGTCTCCTTTCGGAGGGCTACTGGAGGTTTCCCGGTGGTTTTTTCTGTGGGGGTCGTGATGGCCGTGGTCGTACTAGTCGTCGTCGTGTATCGTCGTGTTGTCGTGATGCTGTACCGCTGTTTGGGGATATGTGCTGGCATACTGTTTTTGTTGACCCTGTCTTTTAGGCCTGTCTTAGGGCAAAGGGTTTCAATCATAGTCAGAGCAGCGTCAGCGCCACACACCTCAATCGTGGCAGGGTGCATGGACACAATACACCTCGGGGTAGCGATAGCATGCTCCCACAGAGCTTCTCAGCAGACTAAACGAGGGCAGTGTGCAAGAATGATGCTTGTTGTGAGCTTCCTTGTATTTCCTTTTGTGCGCGCGCTTGCTGGTTTGCCCAGTACATGCGGTCGAGGATCACAGCAAATCGAGACATAGTTTGAAGCCAAGCAGTGCTCCATCGAGAATGTAGTTGGGTCGCCAAGAGCTGTGTGGGCTCAAAGAGTGAGCTAACCTGGACATGGTCACTTCCTGCAGGGTGCAAAGGCAGGAATTGCTTTTCGTCACGCTGGCATGATGGGCATGGTGATTGTAAGTTCGACACGTGTGAAGCAGGCCGCCGCAGCAGTGATGGGGGATGATGTCGCAACTAAGCAGGCCGGCCCATGGCTGCAGATAACTTGGCTCAGGGCCACTTCCCGCGCATCTCATAAGTCATAAGGCCCGTCGGCAAGTGATGTCTCTTGCTTGCGGCTTTCCACATTGGTGTTCGGTAGTTCGGCAGATTCTTGGTGTGCCGGCTACACCCTGCCACAGCTTCCCTCCCTGACGTTTAGGAGGATTGCCGGGATCGCTGGCAAGCAGCATGTTGCACATTCTCAGGTGAGAAGCACTCGGCAAATCTGGGTGTTCGGTGAATGTGACCTGCAATAAGGGGCGCGCTTACAAGCATGATTCTGCCAGCAACTGTCGCAAAATCGGTGAGTGATTCAGCACTATGTACCGGTGGCGGCGGTGCAGAGTAGCTCTTGCGTGGCTTTTGCCCCAGCTGGAGGCATCCGCTATCAGAGCACTGCAGAAAGAAGTCGACCTGATGAACTGGCGGGCTAAGTAAGCACCAATGAATCCAATGAGGGATGAGGGCCGACTGACAGTTGGGACCCTCGTTAGCATGATGCAGGTTTTCGTCGGTTTCCGTGTGTTGCATCGTGTTGCTTCAAAGTCGCCCACCCTGGCAGGCGAATAAAGCCTAGACTGCAGTCATCCACACCTTCTTCTTATCCAGTCCAGCAGGGGGTCGCTTGCGTGTGCGAGAAACCCCTTCTAAACCTACAGATGGAAAAAGTTGTTTGCAACCAAAGTTAGCCACCCACAGGTGATGCAGTCTGCAGCAGGTCTGCGGTAGTCGTGTTCAGTACTATAGACAACCAACGGCAAAGAGCACAATTCTGATTCTCACACAAGCCCTGGAGTCAGCCACGAAGCAGAATCCTTGGCAATGATCCTTTTGTGAGGGGCATGGTGCTTCTGCCTGCAAGAGTACATTTCATTAACAGCAGGATTCGATCTTGCGTCCCACCCCTTCACTGGCTTGCCGACTTTCCTTCATTTCCTGCTTCCTGTTCGGCTGGTCGGGTTGCACGTACCACTTGGCATATTGAACTTTCCGTCTACAAATCACAACCTTGCGAGGCGTCAATGGTCGTTAGCTGTTTTCGGTATGCACGATAGCCCCTCCTTCAGTTCTTAATGTTCGCCCTGTGAGTTGCGAAGGTCTTGGACTCTATGGACAAGCTCCATGGTGCGTCCCGAGCTCGCGGGGTCTTACAACACTTCGTTCAGACACTCTCTGAGGCAGTTGTTTCCCAAGAAGCTTGCACAGAGAAGCCAAGGCTAAAGGTGATTCGAGAAAGTCTGGCTGAACACAACCTCTGTTAGGTCCAATTTTGTGAACTTTGCGGCCTACTCTTGGCCACACTTTGCGTTTGTTTCGGCTGAGACTTGCCCGCCGCGCGATATGTGCTTGTGCCAGGAACATCTTCCGCTATATAGGTGACTACCTTCATTTGGGTGGGACTGGTCCTCAATGCGAGATGTATGCCGCCAAAGGTTCACAGCAGCGAATTAGATTCAGCGCGGTGCAACCGACTGAGGATACTGACACTTCTGGTTACCATTGTGAAGAATAAGTCAGTGGCAGGGATTTCAAGGTCCGCACTTTTTCCACGAGCTGGAGCGCTCAAGCTTGTAGGGTGCGACCATGTCATCCAGTTGGGCAGGACAACGCAAATCTTGTACTGCATTGTCTTCTGCACCCGGTGCCACTGCATAGCTCCTGTTCATGAGGCATTCGGGGTAGTGGACCTTCTGCAGATGATGTGTTTCCAGGTATCTGGACTTGTTCGATCACACGCAATCCTTCTATCTCGTGTTCTTCAAGCTAACGTGACCTGGTGGATGCACAGTCCCGGACTTCTTTTGGGGACAAGCCACACTGACACTGTTGTCAGGTATATTGTCACGTCCATCATTGTCTTAGTTTGCTTCTACCAGTTCGATAGCACCTATGCACGCAGGCATCGAGTGAGCGAACTCCCATAGACATCTTGTCCTGTTGTGCCAGTGCCTGCTTGAGGCACGACACCTGCAATATGACGATAATCCTGGTTCCTTGTACGATCGCCGCGCTGCTTCTCACCAGCGACTATTCCCTCCTAGAGGCATGCCACCCCCATTCCAGTCCTCTGCCGCAGTTCCTCGTTTCCAACCTGGCTGCAGGTCTTGTGGACGTTTTCGGAGTTCATTGAGGGCTTCGCTATGGCCTTCGTCTCAGCATTGCAAACCAGTGCAGGAAGCGCGCGGGCTGCCCCCACCTGCCACCTGCCAGCCGCAGCAGCCGCTGCCGCCGCGGTAGTAGTAGTAGTAGTAGTA